ATGTGGGTTTTCATCTCATGGAGGCTTTGTTGTTAGTTTATCATTTTGTGCACACTGGAATTCCTTCATTCAACACATTGGAAGATGGAATAACAAAAACAAAAGATTTTACATTGTAGATTTGAGATACAATTTATAAATTATTTGGATTTTTTATATTTTATTTTATTTATTGGTGTATTTTTTATTAGTTTTCCTTTATAAAGAACCTAAGGCTATGTTTGGTTTGAAGGAAAATGTAGGAAAAGGAAGGAAAAGGTAAGGAAATCTTTACAAACCTTGTATTGGTTTTCCTGTCTTCCCCTTCCTTTCCCTACCTTTTCCTTCAAACCAAACATAGCCTAAAGGTTAATGAATGAGAATGAAGGATTAGTTTTGAAATAGACAAGCATTAGCAATGAATGAGCCCTATATGTTCAACAAAAGTCCCAAATGATATTTTCGCATAGACAAATGCCACGACCAACCCAGTGCATGCAAGCACTTGCACCCCCTGCCCACTGCCTAGCCCACTTGCCTGGGCTGGGCTTGCCCATCACCCAGCCCACCTACCTGCACTTGGCTACCCGCCTTGTGCCCTTATCCAACCCACCCACCCACCTGCCTTGGCCCAGCCACCCGGCCCCCTTTAAAAAGGCAAAAAACAAAGAAATCCAATTAAAAAAGAAAATATATAAACGATTAAACAACAATTGAAAAACAATGAAAAAACACTCAATAAATGTTTTTCTTCTTAATCAAGTAGTCAATGACAATAGAAAAACATTCAATCAAAACCATAAGACCACTTAACATTTTGATGAGTAAAACATTTTTATTATTTTCAATAAATATATAAACATAATAAAAAATTAGAATTTAGTTACAACATTCAAATTAGAACTATTGAACTAATCTAATAAACAACAAAACCACAAAATTTTGAACTAGGAGCCAAAGAGATCTTGATAGTACAAGAAAAAAATCATGTATATTAACTTTAGTATTTTGGTATTTAGAATCATTTTATTTCGATTGTTAGCATTTTTACTATGAAAATTAGGATCCGTGTTTAAGTAAGCATATTAGCTTTTGGCTCTCCCTAAGAAAAAATCCTGACTCCGCCCTTGGTTTAACCCCATGTTATTACAGGAATTTCTTGTTGAGTTTGGCCTCTGTTGGGGGTTGATGATCCTCCCTTTTTAGCATTTTCAATGGATTTGCGTTGTTTGAATAGGCATCGCAAGTTTCTCTCTTAATGCTCAAGGTCTGCATCTTCTTCACCAACATTTCGGTTTGTGGTCTATTAACAGATTTGTCTCTCTGTTTTGTCAATTTATTTGGCCTTTTACTGATTGATATTTGTTGGGCCATATTATAAGTATTCTCTATAAAATTTGCCTTTACAAGTTAAAAAAAAAAATAGTATCATAATCCAATTTTATCAAAATTCACAAAGGAAGGGGTACCTAATGCTTTGGGAACATGATCCAATAAAAAAAATGAAAAAAGTTTTTACTTATTTCTGGTAAAATGTATTAATTAAAGAAAAGAGGAAATGCAGCCAAAAATAGGTGAACAACAATATTCTCATTATTTATAGATTTGACTGAAATGGATGTTGCTTGTAAAACACACCCACACAGAAGTGGAAAACTGACACTGTTACGTTCTTAGCAGTTTCCGATCTGTAAAACACAGTTGCATGGATCTGACTATGTTTGTATGTCATGACAATAAATAAAGGGTTGCAGAAACTTGTCATATTGTTTAATTATTAACATTTTATATTGGCTGATATCTACCACATTTCCCCACCAGCTGGGTGTGGGAGTGGGAAGAAGATGAAAGATAGCGATAGAAGTTGAAGAATATTGAGATGTGTGTCTACAGTAGTTTCAACTAAATGGAGATGCAAATAGACTTTGTTACTCTCTATCAAAGACAAGATGCTTGGACGTTTCTATTCAATTAACAATTACCAGCTAATATTAATATATATGGAGAGAGAGAAAGAGAGAGAGAAATTAGAGCTGCTTCTCTTTGCATGATAACATCCGTTCAAGGATTTCTAGGTCATAATAAAGCTAGTTTTTGGAGCGGTTATTAGAGAGAGTGTGTGTGTTGCAACTTGGTTTGGCCCGTGTCCCTCCTCAACTATTAAATCAGAAGCTATAACTAAGCGTTAAGGTCTGTTGTTAGCTTAGCAATGCAGTCTTCCCCAAATCATTGTGGTGTCAGATTGTGTGAATTGAATTTGATTTGTTGCGCTGGCAGGAATTCGATCCCCATATTTTAATCCTGATGTGTTCTTTCTTCTGAGGGACATTTTTGAAGTTGCAGCTGATTTGAAGGTGTCTGTCTTTTGTTTATGTTAACAGAAATTGTAATTGTAATGGTCTTGCTCACTTACTAGCTAAATGAGGCCTTTAGGATATTAGGGTCATTTTGTGTTTAATTATTAATTTGGAAGGAGTACAAATACAAATATGTATAATATAAATACATATAAATTAATATAAGATATAAGATTTTGTACTATATAAATTTGTATTTGTACTCCTTCCAATAATAGGAATACAAATATAAATATGTACTATATAAATACATACAAAATAATATAAAATATAAGGTTTTGCATTCTACAAATTTATATTTGTACTCCTTCCAAACTGAGCCTTAGCTCTTTCCGATGCGGTAGCTCTTTTAGCTCTATCATTGTACTGTTGTTTTGTTTCCATCTTGAATGATAAAAAAAAGAAAAGGGTTTCATTGTTAAGCCCAAGAAATAAAATGCTTCAGCAAGAGTCATTCTTAACATTGTGTTTGGTTGTGAATATATTTTCTCAAAAAAAGAGAAAATGGGGAAGCAAATGAAATAAAATATATCTTTATATCTAGGAGAGAGTAGAACCAATCTTACTTCCCAATTCCCATCACTCTCTTGTATTTCTCCTTTGCTCTCTATACCTTCTAGGATAGAACAAAAGAGGATTGGGAGAAAAAAAAAAAAAGAAATTTATGTTTTTTCGAGTTCTGTCAATAGCTAAGCCAATAAAATTACTCTTAAAATTTTCATTCCCCCCTTCCATTTGAAAATCACCACCTCTCATCTACTTTTTTATACATTTTAGCTGCCTAAATTAAACGAGGAGGCTACCTTCCTAGTAAAACTCATGCATGCATATTGTTTATTGGACATGCATTATATAATATTTCTATGCTCTTGTTCACTTTCATAGTTCATTATAAAGACATTTCTTTTTGGCAAATTAAATGTCATTGCCCATTGTGTCATGGCAAAACTTATGATGCTCCGATGCGTCGTGCAACAAAAGTAGGGTATCAACGGGTAGGATGCCCATGAAAATAGTCTTTCCCATTTCCAAACCCACGAAAGCACCCTTTGTCTCAAACTCATCCTAGTTATACCCATCCTGTCCTAAACCTGTCATCACATAAGTGAAATGTCATATCCCTCTTAAGCAAAAGTGGTGGGGTAGGTTAGTAGTAAAGATGCCTAATGAGACGCAAGGAGAACGGTTTGAATCCTTTTTCGAACCTTTTTATTATATATACTATTAAGTGTTCACATGCTTTGAGTGTGGCAGTTTTGATGATGATAACAATGATCATGATAGTAAATAATATGTTTTAAATTTTTTTATATTTCTCTGTTTATAAAAATTATTCTTATTTGTCAAACTTATGTCTATTTAATATGATAAGTGTACATTATTAGAAATGTGCCTAAAATATTTTCTACATTTTTTTGTTTTTTATACTTTTGTGTGTTTTTGTCTTTTTTACTTTTATTATTATTTAATTATGGCATCAATGATTAACACATTTAATCCAAAAGATTGAATTGTTGATTTGCCACCAAATAGGAAAACAACTCCATTTCTAGGTTGTTTTAAAATTGTATTTTATTTATATCATCAATAAAAACAATTATTTTTTGTCACACTTATTTTTCTTTAATATAGTTTATTAATATAGGATCCTTTACAAAACAAATATAGGATTCAATGAAAGAATGGAGTTAATACCCTAAATAACTTAATAAGACGGAATTGAATGAGGAGAAACGTAGTAATTTAAACTACATTTTGTGCCCTCACAATTAGTAACCAAATTCAATGATGGGAATATTATAGTCAAGAGTAGTATTCAATGAATGTTAATGGGAGTTATAACTTAAATATATGACTTAATGAGAATCATTTGAATGAGGAGAAAAGTGATTGTTTAAATTAGATTTTTGTCCTTACAATTAGAGAGGTCATAAATTAAAATATTGGGGTATTTTAAACAAACAAAAGTTCTACACTCTCGTTTACGCTTTTAGTAGTGGTATAGATGTATGTATGTAGAGGTTTTGATTGGTCAAAGCTCTTCTAGTATCATGTCTTTTAGACATCATAGATTTTCCCATACTTAATAATGGGCATGGTTTTGGTATCTTAAGGACAAAACCTAAACTTAACCCAAACACTATAGGGTTTTAATCTAAAAACCCAAACATGTCCTAAACCCTATAGGAGTTTTGATAAATGGGTCCTATTAGGGTTAGGTATCCAAAAATTCCCACGAAATTGTCTTTCCTAAGCAAAAGATGTGATTGGTTGAACATGGTGATAAATACACCTTGTTAAACATAAGATACACTATTAAAATGTAAATCAATGAAAAACTGAGCATACTTTAACATGATTGGTTAAAATCTGGATTTAAGGTGCAACCTATATTAGTGACTGCATGGTACTCTATTGCGTTACTTATGAGAATCTATTGATAATTATTGTTGTTCATGGAATTTTATTAGGCATTTCAAAACTTCCACCACTAAATCTCAATACACTACAAAGATGGTTAGATCCATGACATTATTTGTCTTATAATGTTGCACTACAAAAAATATGACCTATAGCGGCAGTTTTTTAGGTGACAGTAGGGCGACTGTCGCTAGAAATATATTGGTTTTTAAGTGGCAGTCGATTAAAACTGCCACTAAAGACCCACCGACTGCCGCTAGAGAAAAGGCACGGGCTGAGCTTTTCCTTCCCCGCGCATCTTCCTTCCTGCCCTCTCTGTCTCTCTTCTCTCCCAGTCGTCTCTCTCTTAGTCCTCTCTCTCTCTTGAGCTCTCTATCTCAGTCGACCCTCTCTCTCAATTGTTATCTCACTCTCGCTCGCTCTTATCTCAATATCTCTCACACACAGTCGCACTTTGGCAAGTATCTCATTCACACATCGGTGGCATTTGATTTAGGTAAAATTCCCTTTCTCTGATTTCTAGGTTTTTTTATTGTTTGAAAAAATCAATGGTTGTTTTCTAGTGTTAAGTGGCCATTCCTCCGTTTTCTAGTATCTCGTTGCTTTCTTGGAAACTCCGTTTTCTAGTGTTTGATTCAATGCAAGTAAGGATTTTGAAGCAGCAAACCTGTTAGTTTTTATGATCTATTTGCCTTCTGCCTTCTGCTACTGCTTTAGATAAGCATCATTTGGTTTCATTCATTTGACGAAAGAAGGAACAAGCTGTAATATTTTTGTTGCACTTACACTAGAACTGTTAACCTTGAGTTCGATGTTTCCAATTATGGCTTTATAGTCTTCTTATGATAGTTCTTATTGGAGAATTTCACTAGAAACAGAATGAAAACCTGTCATGCCTAATGCAGAAAATTATGATTCTGTTAGGATTCCTGGCAATCAAGTATTTCATCTGTAATTGTTGATGTGAACCTCATTATTCTAGTGTTTATAAATGGACTGCTTATGTTTATAAGTGGGGCATCAGGGGGAAGACAGTCTCAGGAGAATGCCTTGCTTATGTTCTCTTCATGTGTTACTCTATGAGGACCTGGTTGGAACAGAACTAGAGATATCTATAGGAGAATCACTTGGCACCGATATTATTTAATTTTTTTTCAATTTTTTTTTATAGAAACCAAAAGGGTCCTACTTGATTATAACTTTTATATAACTTCTACTTGATTACAACTTTTATATAACTTATTTGCAAATTGGTTTCTACTTGATTATAACTTTTATATGGATAAAAGTATATGATGGATAAATTCAGTAATAGGTGTAATTCCTGAAAAGGTCAACATTTGTTTGGGTAGTGGTATGAGATTGAAGCTCATAAGAAGATTGAATTTTTCCTGTCATGACAGTTTCTCGAACTGCTGTTGTTTGGGTGTAATTAATTGAGCCTTTTTTGGGAATATGTTTTCATCTTTATGAATCAGAGAGGACTTTCAAAGTTGAATGCTTTTGTCCTTCATTTTCCATAAAATATTCTTATATATAATATTTACCTGAGTGCACACCAAAGCTATCATGCCACCATGCCCCCTTCCAATTATTCTGTGCACTAGAATCATTACCTGAAATTTAAAAAAAAAAAGGAAAAACCTTTAAAAATGGATGTTATGTGAATGTTTTGCCATTCTGCTCTGTTTGGTACCATAACCATAAGACATCTGTTCTTATTAATAATGATAATTTATAGGGTGTACATGGCTGAGATGGCCTGACAAGGAGCATCCTCTAGATGAGCTTGAACTACTATTTTCAGTCCATTGGTCTGGATAGGATATATTTTAAGGATAATTAATTTAACAGGACAGGCATGTGATGTTAGGGCACATTAGACCAAGCCGAGGCCTCAAAAGTAATAATTTATATCCATTCTATATCTAGCAATGTTCATGTTCTAATTAAACATTCTATGATATTTTTGTAAGTCAATAGATATCCTTTATATCTCTGAATATGTATCTTTAGTGGAAGAACTTCTATTCTTTTTGTAAACTTTTATATTTTTTTAATTATCAATATATTCTATACACACATCATTAAAATCACAAACAGAACTCAAACAATATAGATATGATAATCCATCAATATTATCAATTATTGTTATGTTTCAAAGTTTACCTTCTTTATTGCTTGCCAAGCTTGTCTCCATCTCTCCTCACCTTCATCACCAGGCCAAGGTATCCTTGAATTTTTCATTTTGTTCTTAAGTTCGTTGATCTACCAAACACCCAAAACTAAATAAATGAATAAGAAGAATATTGGGAAACTAACTAGCAATTTTTTATTCTTGCTTTTCATTGCTGTATATCAAAAGAATAATATAAGAAGAATATAAGTTCGATGACTAGTTGTAGCAAAGAGTTGGGGTCAAATCCTGTTGCCACCGGAGTTGGGGGGTTATGGGTATGGGGAATGGGCTACCCCTGTTGTGTAGCCCCATGAAGCCAGAAAAAAGGAAACATAATTTATTGTAGGCGAATTTAAGTAGTATCATATTTGATTTGAGCAATGTACATATTCCATGTGGAATAAAATTCAATGGTAAAGCATGACGATTTGGTGCTTATAGTGAGTTTCTTGCTTGAGCTTTCTTTAATGGTCTTTCACTTCAGATGATCTTGAAGAATGTTTTTCTGCCTCTATTGAGAATAAGGATTTTGACTCCTACCATCCTTGTACAATTTTGTAGGGGTGTAACTGACTCAAGTTTTAATCAAACAGTTTTGGCTTGAATTGGATTAAGCTTGATTCAAGTTCGATGCTAATCGAGTTCGAATCTCAGGTAAGTTCAATTGGTTTTTCATACTCGAATTTGACCAATAAAATATTCAGCAAAGGCTCGCGACTCCTGTTCTGTCATCACAGTTTAGAATCACTAGAACATCTATTCTTACACTGCCCATTCAGTGCAAAGATATGGTGTTTTTTCTTGAACCTATTCAATATTAGCTTGGTCTTTCCTAACACTGTTAATGAAAGCATTGAAGACTGGTATCATGTGGTCCATAGACCAAAAAGAAGACAAGAATCTTTTGAGGACAAATTTATACAATTTTCTGAATTAGTATGAAAAACATATTCTCCCTGTTTCTTGTTATCAGTTACACAGGAGTTTAAAGATATGGCATACCATAGCTGTTTTTGAGATGAAGTGCTTTGAAGCTGAAGGTGGCTCTTCATTATTGTTTTGTTGTTGAAGAGCCTTTATATGTGCAGCTTCTTTTTTCTTTGGGAGTACCCTCCTACCGCCTTTATTAGATATAATCCTGTTCTTAAAAGAAAGATATACATGGATTATATGTGAAATCATTTTGGTGCCAAAAGTTTCCATAAATGATTTCTTTTCTAAGTCCTAAGTACAAGACTTAGAAACCAAGAATCCAAATAGGGGTGGGGACTTTAGAGGGGGATAAATTAAGGAGATAAGAAGACCTAAAAATAGATTTAGACAAGTTAAAAGACTGAAAATGAGATATAAATGGATTAAATAAGATGGAAATACTAGTTGGTTTTGTAAGAAAAGATTTAGTCCCTAGGTATAGACATATGCTCCACACCCAACATCTTCTCATTTTTTCTACCAAAATGCTGGAAGGTGTTAAAACAATACCTTCAAGGATTTGCATGAATTCTGTTGAAGAGTTGTTTATATATACTATTATATTGGGTGGGTTTCGGGTGTGAGAGGAGGGGAGGGGGTGGTGGGGTTGCCATCCAATTTTCAAGCTTATGGCATTTGCAAATAACAGAGCAAGGATTCTCTCCCTTTTCAAGCACAATCTTAAGATTGTGATTGAGTAGATGGGAGGTAATATAGTTTATTCATGGCATATTACTCCTTCCATTAGAGAGGCCTGTGCCTTGATATGCATGCTGAATACTTCTTTCAGGTGGATGAACAGATAAAAAATTCTCTATTTGATTTAATTTATTTTGATGTGGCATTTCTAGGCCAGATAACAGATTAATGAATTAATTAACTTTTTTTTTGGGTTTTGTTTATTGCATCTTGTTTTTGTTTTTTTTTTTTTATTTATGCATGCATTATATTTTCCCCATGGTTCACAGCCCTTCCATTAGAGAGGCATGTGGCTTGATATGCATGTTGAATACTTCTTTCAGGTGGATGAACAAATCAAAAAATTCTCTATTTGGTTTAATTTGTTTTGATGTGTCATTTCTAGGCCAGATAATAGATTTATTAATTAATTAGTTTTTTTTTGTTTTGTTTGTTGCATCTTGTTTCTGTTTTTTTTTTTTTTTTTAATTTATGCATGCATTGTATTTTCCCCATGGTTAACAGCCCAGAATTTGCCCTTTTGTGTCAGACATTTTCAAACCACCTTTATATTAAATCTACATATTTCACAGCACAGACTTTCTCAAATTTTTGTCCTTTTGGTGTCGTTCCAAATATCTTTGCAAAATTTCAGCCAAAAGTTCAATTACTAGAGGGCTTTTTGTTAATGACTGAAGTAGAAGATTGAATAACTTATTGCTTTTATGGATAAATTGTCATATAATCAACTAACATGTTTTTCAGCAATTAAGGAGATTAAAACCTACTTAACGAGATTCACTAAAAGACAGTTCAGCCACTTCAGCCATTAAAGGTCTCTAAATGTAGTTTTCAATTTCTTAGAGTTTTTCCAAGCTTCAAAGTGAATCTCCAATTCCTCCATCTTAACCTTACCTACCCTAGATTCCTAATCATCTTTTCCATTTAAGCCCAATAAACACTAAGACCTCCCTTGTAGTTATTTTCCAACTCTTGACTGGTTATTCTTCAGTTTCCACAGCTCTGGCTCATAACTATCCCACATCATAATGTATTCATAAAAAAGCAGAATGGTGGTTGAAATTTATCTTTTGAGCTCCTGGTATGTCTGCTTGACTAAAATCATGAAAACAGAACTATCACTCCTTTTTCAAAATGAAAGGCAGATTCAATTATACAAATCTCTAAATGGTTGCAGCTCAAAACATGGAAACTTTGAAAACAGAGTAAAAGCTCACTAGAATCATCAGAGATCTCCTGGGACCTAGCATCAGCACAGACCCAACTAATGCTCAACACAAGAAGATGGAAAAGCCCCACTCTCACAGTCATAGTGCCTGAGGGGAAAATTAGTAAGTGCCCTGCATGATAACCTCATCATTTCCAAATTAGCAAAACATCACATTATCTCTTAATCTATTTAATTTTAATTGCAGGAAAGAATTTCTGCAACTGAAGATAAAATGTTGTATGATCATCAGCTCTTTTTAAGCAGTAAAAACCAACAGGCCTATTTACGTTCAGAAAATCAGTGGCAGAATAAAATCATAAAACCAACAAAACCCATAATTAATTTTAGTTCATCGGATTTCTGATGGCACCTACCAGTAAATTTCCGGGATTATAGTTATTTTCTTCCCTATTTGTCAACATATCTTCTGAGACCAGCATGACCTAAGAATTGATATACTGATCTAGGTACACTCAGCGCCTAATGGCTGATTAGAAACTCTACCAAATGGATTAAAATTGATAATGTTTATAGGAAATTCCATCATATATACAAAACTATAAAAAGAAAAAAAAAATCTAATTACAAAATAAAATAAAAGAAATGGATTATTTCTTGACTTAATTACTTGGGGAAGATACATTCTTTTTTGGGGTACAAGGGAACATGGGATGCATATTAGGTATTTTGCATGAATAAAGATGAGTTTCAGTAACCAAAATTAGAAGTGAAAAGGTAGTTTTTTTCTGTATGTTTGATGCCAATTTCCTACTCCTTGTTTAAATTCTTATGTTTTGGTTTGTGTGCCATCAGGTGCCAGTTGTGGGAGAAGGAAATTGAACTTAAGGAGATGAAAGAGCAATTGAATGAACTTGTAGACCTACTACAGCAGAGTGAAGCACAGAGAAAAGAAATTCTTTTACAAGCCAAGAATTTATCAATTTGAAATTAAAATGTATTTGTGATTCAAATATTTTGAATAAAGAATGTTTTTTTAAATTTTATTTGTAATTGATGTTTATTTATTTTCGTATTCTATTTCTATTTAAATGAATACAGACAAGAGAAAACAGAAAATATGAAGAAAATTAGAAAAAAATAAAAAAATAGGTTATTTGAAAAAAATTATACTTCTAGCAGTAGTCACGACTGCCGCTAAAAAACACACGTCAAACTTTTAGCGGCAGCTGAACCAGTATTAGCAGCAGTCGAACCAGTAAAAAACCTTTTAGCGGCAGTTTAAAGTTTATACCGGCAGTCGTAAAAACTGCCACTAGAACGTATAGGGACAGTTCTTTTAGCGGCAGTTTGATTGCCGCTAAAAGTCATTTTTCTTGTAGTGTTGTTTTGTATCGGGCCCTATCATATGTTTAGCATGTTAAAACTTGGTAATCAACCCTTTGAGTGTGCCTCTTATTTTTATGGTATTTTTTAGATGAAATGGTCAATTTGGAAAAATATAGGTGCATGAGTATGATTGTGTTTAAGCATGCACTTCTCGATTCAAGAAACATCATTTTGACATTTTTTTCAAACATCTCCTATGTGTTACCCAATGCAAGCTTCTTGTTCTCATTTTAAGTTAAACCAACCCTAGTAAACAGGAATTCTGAACAATAATATTGATTCACTTATGTGAAGCTAAAGTAAACAAAAAACTAAAAGGTAAAAAGAGGAATACAACTCTAGTAAACTGAAAAAAGGAATACAACACCACAATACCAAACACACTAGATCTCTGACTGTTTTTATTTCATATTGCTTTACAGTGTATTCTATGATATCCATTCAAAAAAAATAACAATCGTTTGGTTTATAGTCAGAATCAGAATTGAAATTGAAATGGTCTATTCCATAGTCTGTTTGGTTCAAACAGGAATTGGAATAAGCTGAAATAAGATTTCATTCTCAATGGTAGGGGAGGGAATGACCATCCCTCAAATGGGAAAATGCCATTTCAGAAGGAATAGGAATGGGAATAGGATTCTGATTCAGCCCAACCTAACAGTTGGAATAGGAATGGCCAGACCCTATTCCTGTGAACCAAACATGCCCTCATATTTTTATCATTAGGCTGTGTTTGGTTTGTACAAACTTCCCTACCTTTCCCTTCTTTTTCTTACCTTTTCTCTCAAACCAAACACAGCCTTAATATACCCAAGTAAAAGTGGTGTTTACTGTTTAGAAAGGTTAGTTCCATGTGGTTGTCATAGTTTTGTGCTCCCAATTTACTAGTAAAGTTGGAATAAGGTGGAAAACAATGAAAAAGATTCAGTACTCTAGAATTTGCTAAGGCGAAAGAATTAATATTTCTTTAAACAATAAAAATGAGATCCTATCCTATGTTGAAAGTTGCAAAACAATATTGCTAATAATACATATATAATTTTCCACATATTTGTTGATTGTTTGCACTAGTGTAAATGGGTGGGAGTGGAAATGGGCTGTGTCAATTCTGATTTATTATTACTTCAAATTTGATTTAATGTTGTTTGTTTGTGAGAAATAAGATAAGAAGTAGGATGACATGATCCACATTTCAAGGCTGTGATCCACATAAAATTGCAGCGCAATTTTATTTGCACTAGTATAAACATGGGAGTGCAAATTTAAAAAATACAAATTCTGGTTTAATTTTGTATTGGATTTTACTTTATTCTGTTTCATGTCTTAATTTACTTCATTTGTACTGCAATTAAACAAAATAAACTAAAATTTGAAACAAAAATAGGTCAGAATTTACACTCAAATAATTTGCACTGCCATGATTTTGCATTAGTACAAATTTATTTGCATTGCAACCAAACACAACCTAAGTGAAAAGAGATTGAGACACTGATAGGGTAAGAAATAAAATGACGTGATCCCTACTTTAAATGAGAGGGAAGTAAGGTACGGAGAAGGTGATATAAATTTTACACCATTGTGTGCAAATGACACAACAAAATTACGAATTTTGCATCAGTCAAAAGTGCAAATCATAGTTTTAAACAACAGAATGTAATTAAATATAAGGGAAAAATTCTTAAAATACCCTTATGGTTTATCTAATTAACTAACTCTACACTTAATGTTTACATATTGTCTTGAAGTACCCCTACTATTTCTGAAAATTGACATCGCCGTTAAGTGCTAACAAAAAGAAACAAAATATTGAATTTGCTCCCTACTATTTCTCAAATTTTCAAAATAAAACTCAACTGATGAAAAAATTTAGGAAGAGGAAGTGGATCACAACTCTGACGATAATGTTTTGGAGACAAAGAAACCTTTGATCTTAGTGATTATACTTGTTCACGGGCTAGGCTTGGGCTTGGCTTTTGCCAAAAATTTGAATGAGGCTCGACCCAAAACCTGAGCCCAACATAATGCAAGTCAGGACGAAGCCTGGCCCGTGAACAGGCCTACTAGCGACAATGAAATTTTTAACTTGAAGAAAGCTTTGAATGATTCCCTCAACAACATAGATCGAGGGTTGAGGTCCCCAAATCCACTCCATGGCCTCTCCCATTCAAGCTAATCTGATCTGATTTTCATTAATGATTTCAAAAAGAAAAATTACAACCATAGTTCATTCACATCTTCCTCTCAACACAGCCGCAACAATTCCCAGATCCACTCCATAGTTCACTCACGTCATCCCCTCCCCCCTTTTCTCCTTCCTTGCTCTACTCCATCATCTCCACCTCTGTTCATAGCCACCATCAGCATTTCTGTATTTAGATTGACTCTGCTCAGATTGGGTATAACAACAATGCTAATTTTCTACAAGCATGTTAAAAGATCGACTCTACTCAAATTGGGTCTAACTGTTTTTTTTTTCTTTTTTCTGAATCAAAGAGAAGCAAAGCGAAGATTGGAATTGAATTGCAAGGAGAGGGAGGGGAGGAGTCTGAAGAGGCTAGCATTTATTAACACTCCCCTGTTTTCTTTTTCTTTTGGTTGGGGTTAGCTTCTATGTCATCGTTTTCTTTCTCTCTTTAATGGTCTTCTTTTCCATCGTTAGAAAACAGGGGAGACAGAGAAAAACTAATATTTTAGAAAGAAGGGTCCTCGAATGGGCACCACCTCTCAAGATGCGATCAAGCAATTCCAAGCTCTAATGGACGATGGTTAGCTCCTTCGATCCCCATTTCCGGGTACCCCACCACACGGTGCATGGCATCCCTTCGACCATTCCTGGCACGGCAGCAACCGTCTCCAGCATCTTTTCCCGACAACCATACCGATTCTGCACCAAAAAATTGAACCGAGCTGTCTTGCTTCGTGAGATTAGTCGAAGGCATGTCCCAATAGCTCACAATCATCTTCTCCTCCGGGCGGTTGGCACCACCAACAGTGGAACTGGTTAGTATGCCCTTCTCTTCTTCTTTGTTGTTCAAAGCCGAGGTACTCCCATTATCTACACCTAGACCGGGAAACCTGATCCAAGTTCACCCTAGCATAGCAAACCAGCTGACTTGAAAGAAATAGGAAGTCTCGGTGGTGATTTCTTTTAAAGGTTCCCTGATCACCGGTGGTCGGAGGATTAATATGTCCAAAGGTTACAGCCGGGTTGATATGTCCACTTTGCATTATCAGCCCAGAATCTCCAGAATGTTAATACCTCGATACTTAGAGCGGCCTACTGCATCACATGCCTCTGATTTATTCGAGTAGTTCGTAACCTCCACGCAGATCTTGTAATTGACATATTAATGTGCCTAACCAACCGTAAACGGCTCCATAAAGAAGGTGAGACCTATTATACCTATATGAGGCACTCATTTATATTTAAAAAGGTATGCGTGATTATATACTCTCAAGCTCTCTCATTCTCTTAAAGAACTCTCAAACACTCTTTGACTTAAAGCAACGAAATGCCCACCCCAAGGTAAAGACAACTTAGGCACTCTAATATTTTTTCTTATAAGAATACATCAAATCGGCCTTGATAAGGAATCTTTCGAATCAATGTTTGAATCACCTGACACGAAGTACCCACCCCAGGTAAAGACAACCTAGGCACTCTAATATTTTCTCTTATAGGAATACATCAAGTTGGCCCTGATAAGGAATCTTTCGAATCAACGTTTGAATCACCTGACACGAGGGAACAACCAAATCATGCAATATCAATTAAGATAGAGCTAATCAATTGTTAAAAATAGGGTGATTTAAGATAATAATTAAACAGTAAAGATACAATTTGTTAATTAGTTAAACATTAAGAATAATAATTTAAGAAATTTGTTCAAACTTGTATCCTTGCACTTCGACCAAACAGTGAATAAGTAACCATAAGGCTATGTTTGATTTGAAGGAAAATGTAGGGAAAGTAAGGAAAAGGTAGAAAATCTTTACTATGTTTTTTTGCCTTTTCCTTTAAACCAAACACAACTTAAAGTTTCAACTCTTTCAACAACCGAAAATTATTCAGCACTTCTCCACGTACGAAATTCGAATATTTTAGATGGCCTGACTGGTTGGTTGCCTCTGATCGTCTGTGAACTGCACCTCTACTGTAGCACTGGATTTGAGGGAATGGAAAAGTTTGTCCAGAACCCATTAAAATTACGAGATCAACGGCGTAGAGATCTTGTATCCATGTAATTGTATAAGTGATAAATCACCCTACCCGATAAAACCCGCCCCGGTCCCCAGACTCCCCACCCCCCAAGTCCCAGAGAATGAAACAAAACAACCCGGTACCAATCGAATCCAGAGTCTCCTTGAAGACTTTCAACGTGTATTATTTCGATTTTTTGATCCATCGCTCGCCTTCTAACGCACGTCACTGATGCTTCTTCTTCCACTTTGTCTTTCTTCTTCCTCGTTCCCTTCCGCAGGAGTCCATATCACCTCTCGGCGCAAGATAGCTACAATTGTCATCACAGGAATCAGAGCTTCTTCTCTTCCCTCTTCTCTCAGCATTTCCCGGGTTCGGATTTGTCTCCAACTATTATACTTGTTAGTTTTGTTTTGCTTTTGGGTTTGGGTTCTCTCTCATGAAAGACAGGTCCATGAGACCTTAGCTTTTTTTTCTTTCTTCTTTTTATTATTATTGTAAATTATTATCTTTTTTTTTTTTCCTTTTCTTCTTCTCTTCTCTTGCTCATAATTTGCAATTTTTCACTTCGGTGTCAATTTTCAAACTGAAATAAGATGATGGGCTTTGAGAATCAAGGCTTCGAAGAAGCCCATCTCTTTTCATCTCGACAAGAGATCCAAAGTCTCGTTCTGGACGAGCCTTTAGACGGAAAATCTTTCTCTGATTACCGGAGCGCGATGTCTTCTATCTCTGAAGCGCACCATCCCTTGTCACCGCCGATCGTTGGCATCGAAGTCGACGACGATCCCTTGCTATCGCCTTCGTCTTACATGGACCGCCGAAACCCTAATGTATCCGAGAACTCGTACCTGGAACCCCCATCTTATGCGGATGTCGTCTTCAGTCCTTTCGGCAACGAGAATGGCGAGGCAAACGGCTTCGAGAATTCTACTCATGATTCAGTAAAGTCCGAAATTATATCTAGATCAGCTTCCTCAAGTTCTGGGTACATAAAAATTGCAGTGTCAAATCCTGTAAAAGAGCAGGAGATCTCGAATTCGCTTGTTCCCGGAGGAAATACTTACGTCACGTATCTGATCACGACGAGAACTAACATACCCGAGTTTGGAGGGTCAGAGTACAGCGTGCGGAGGCGATTCAAAGATGTGGTGACATTAGCGGATCGGCTATCGGAATCTTACAGAGGGTTCTTTATTCCACCTCGGCCGGATAAGAATGTAGTGGAGAGTCAAGTCATGCATAAGCAGGAATTTGTGGAACAGAGGCGGGTGGCCTTGGAGAAGTATTTGACTCGATTGGCAGCACATCCGGTGATCAAGAAGAGTGAAGAATTGAAGGTGTTTTTGCAGGTTCAGGGGAAGCTTCCATTGCCAACAACCACCGATGTGGCTTCGAGGATGCTTGATGGTGCCGTCAAACTCCCAAAGCAGTTGTTTGGGGAACCTGCGACTGTGGTCGCTCCCCATGAGGTTGTGCAACCTGCGAAAGGGGGAAGGGATCTGTTGAGGATCTTTAAAGAATTGAAGCAATCAGTAGCTAATGATTGGGGTGGCTCGAAACCACCCGTTGTCGAGGAAGATAAGGAGTTTCTAGAGAAAAAGGAGAAGCTGCAGGTTTTCGAGCAGCAACTTAGCAATGCATCTCAGCAGGTAGTTCGACGTATATGTTCTCTCTCTCTCTCTCTCTCCTCGAATTTTATTTTTTAAACTTAGAAGCCCTTGCAGTTAGTGTTCTTTTACCAGGATGTTGTATCCTTTTTCTTTGCAGGCTGAGTCTCTTGTCAAGGCTCAACAGGATATTGGAGAAACGATGGGGCAATTAGGTCTAGCATTTATCAAACTAACAAAATTTGAAACCGAGGAGGCCATGTACAATTCTCAAAGAATACGAGCTGCTGATATGAAACGTGTGGCAACCGCCGCAGTCAAAGCAAGCAGATTTTATCGGGAATCAAATGCTCAGACAGTAAAGTATCTGGTAAGTTACAAACTTTTTGTTACCTGTATGTTCTCATTGGATATTTATTTGATAATAGATGTTGCAGCTTCGAATGTAAATTTGAACTTGGAAACTCTAAACTTGTTGGATGATAAATGTTCGAATATTCCATGCTTCCTCTCCTCATTGTAAGAGACCATATTTATTCTGGTGCTTGGGGCCTTTTAAAAATTTAGTTAAAAGAGAGTAGTTCTTGGTTGTTTGGATGCCGTTGTAGTGGCCAAAGAAATTAATAACTTTGGTCGAAGGATCTTATGATATAGTAGCAGTACTCTTCCATCGTTTTTCTTATCTTCGAAGTCCATATCTTGCAGGATACACTTCATGAATATCTTGGATTAATGCTAGCTGTCCACAGTGCATTCTCAGATCGTTCAAGTGCTTTATTGACAGTACAGACTCTTCTATCAGAACTGTCTTCTTTGCAATCAAGGGCTGAAAAACTAGAAGTTGCATCCTCCAAAATATTTGGCGGGGATAGATCTAGGATTCGCAAAATAGAAGAGTTGAAAGAAACAATAAGAGTTACTGAGGATGCCAAAAGTTGTGCAGTTAGAGAATATGAAAGGATCAAGGTATTGTATATCTTCCTGATATTCTGACAGAGTCCTTATAAGTGATACTATTTTTTTTTAAATGCATGTTGTAAACTTGTAATTTTTACTTATTTGTCTAATAGATACATGGTCTTGTTGTGAGTGCAAAATACCATCCGTGTTAGGATCTATGATGAGTTGATGAGTGACTGATATAATTTGACAATGCTAAGCTCTTGAAGCTTTGGCTGCCAAAAGGTTCTAGATTCTAGTATCCTACATATTAAAAATTTTGTTTAATGATGGGCAAAGTGGACCATTCTTTTAACAGAGAGGGTGGAAGGCTATTTAAATCTGATTTTGAAACCATTTCTCTCACATGTTATAACTCATTATGGTACAAGGTCATAATTCAAAAACTTTTCTTCAAATTTCTCTTTTTGAATTAAATCTGTGCCATGAAAATTTCTGCAAGGAGATAAGCTTTTCTTTTCGAAGTAAAAGGAAGAAGGACAGCACGTGCATTACATCACAACTGATATTTAAAGACTAACAAGCAGTTATCAACAAGTCTTATTATTTCCTTTGTTTTAACTGGAACCAAGGTGGCAAATACGACCTATAGTTTTGTGTATATTATCCACGTTGACATGCGATATATTTTCAAGTTCTCTTTTACTTTATACAAAATAAAAAATACTGAAGAAAATCAATAATAAATGAATTTTTATATAATATATATCGAGACATATTACATCATTAATTTCACAAGGCTATATTACGTTTAATCATAAATTTCAATATTCCATTACAATTTAATCAATTTGACTCTGTAAAGCAGTAAGACATTTGAAATCATGGATTTTTTTTTATTGCAAGAATTCAAGAAAATAAATAATTGACAACACACTAATATGTATCATAGAGCACAAATAAAATATATCTTATAAAAAGTGCCCACTGTGCCCTTTTCCTTGCCCAAGAAGACGCCTAACATTCATGCAAATCTGGTATGCTATAAAGGTATCCCTATAAAACACCTTGTTGCCTGAGCATTACCTTGATAACTATGTTTTGTTATGAATGTCATTAGGTCAGAAACACTGTCAGTCCTGACTGAAATGCTAAGATCTTTCCTTTTGTGTAGAGGTGCAACATGGGTAGGCTCAGGTTGGTGTTTTTAACAAAATTTGAATGGGCCTAGCTTGAAGGCCCAATCCCAAAGTAGTGTAAAATGCTAATGCGGGCCAACCTGAGTTGCACCCCTACTTTTATGATGTACTATTATGTTGAACTTTCTTTCGGGTATTATCAGTTCATGATACTCTGTCTTCTTATAACCACAGCTTCTGAGGGTGAAACTAGAAAATAGTAGATGACCATTTTTCATTGGCTATATGACAATGGAATTCTGTCAACAGACTTCCTGTAGTTCCTTTTATTTATTATATTAAAAGCAACTTGTTCTTACATGATGGTATTTCTATTGACATTTTATTGAGGCATAGAAATCCTCATTCAACAGTCAATCCTTTTATGAAATACATCTCTTATTTGTAAATTTATTTCTGATGCTAAACTGCAGGAAAACAATCGAAATGAACTTGAGAGACTAGAGAGGGAAAGACGCCATGACTTCTTGAGCATGCTGAAAGGGTTTGTAATTAATCAGGTATCTTTTTTACCTTCATGCTGAAAGGGAAAGACGCCATGACTTCAGGCAAAACCATTGTTTGTAATTCAATGAGTTCATTTTTGAGTACATAAATAGGAACATTTAATTGCCTCTGGTTGCCAAAATTCTGAGCTAACTAAAGGTGGACATTAACTTTAAATTCCAAGATTTAAGTTATTTCTTAAATGGATTTCCTCTTCATATCCAGAGGAAAACAAGGCATTACTGGTTTAACATATGGTCATTTGACCCAAAAATGATGTTTACATGGGGATAGGATAAACGTGTATTCCCACTATTTGGGTTCAATGGTTGATTTCTGCATATATTTTCAATGGGCTACAACAAGGGCTGCCATTTTCAAGCTACAAAAAAAGTTGTTGAATTCAGTTGAAGCCCTTGAAACAGTTTGGTCCTTTGCAAGTTGAGTAAATTATCTACTTGAAGGATGCATTAGGTATTCTTTGAGATGTATGTGATTAATAGAGCTGTTAAAATGGTGACTTTTATCTCTCTGTTAGCTAAAACCAGCTAAAATGACCCTTGCAGGATGTAGATTTTCTAACCATGTTGCGTCTCCTGCTGGTCATTATGGCTTATAGCTATTTATGGTTCTTTTAACTTGTCTATTGGGTTCTATGCTGGGATCCATTACACATATTGTTACTTTCACATTGTTAACAAAGGTGGTTGACTTGTTTCTCTTTGGTCTTTTTTGTTGAATCAAGTCCCAAAATCATGGTTCATGGTATTGCTATATGTAGTCAATATATGAATGATGGTTCAGGGATATTCTTCTATGTAATTTGATGTATTTTATCTTTTAATTTTTTTGGTGCTCATTGATGTACATATCAATGTTTAAAAAAGTGGTTAGTCTTACAGGTGAGGCTCATTTTGGGGGTGCACCTTGCCTAATCCCAGAAGCACCTCAGACTTGTATTTTGATGAATTAAGCTTGAATCAAATGTTGGATAGGTGTATTCTATTTTCTGTTGTTCTTATGGTATTTAGAGTTTAGACAGATTAGCTTGAGTAGGGCTTGAATGTATAGGGCTACAACCTTTGTGTGAATATAATAACAGGATGCTTTAACAATTGAGAAATAGGCTTTGTGAAATATTTGTCTCTTTCATAATTTTATTTGCATATACTTGGTATGTTAAGTTCTTCTAAAAGTGGCACCTCACTTTGTTTGGGTGCACACCTTACCTTGTGCCTAAATCTCTAGGTACCCTTTGCTCTTGCCACTTCTTTGCTCTTAAAACACTAGCATCGATAACATCTTGCAAAGATCTTACTATTCTATCTTGTAAACAGCTATTATTTTTTTACTTTTATTGGCCATCTCCCATCTAATTAGATGATCCTTCTTCACCTCTCTTGGTTCCCACTTCCCACAAGAATTCCCTTACTACCTTTTCCAATTTTTTAGCCTCCCTCGAGGGAATCCTGAAGACTGAAAGGAAGTAGGTTGGAAGGTTGGCAAGTGTGGCCCTAATCAAGGTCACCTTACCCCTATAGAGATGTAATTCTTTTTCCAGGCCGCCAAATATTTCCCAAATTTCTCCACAATAGGGGACCAAAAACTGCTCTCTTTAGGGTTGGCGCCTAAGGGAAGACCTAAGTAGGTCAAAGGCCAAGAAGAAGTGGCACAACCTAAGCAACCTGCAATGGACTCTATCTCCCAACCCTCCAAGTTTATTCCAGCCACACAACTTTTATCAAAGTTTATCCTCAAATTGGATGCATTCTTAAAACCTCTTATTAGATTCTTTAGATTGTCCACCTTCCTTAAATCACTCCCTTCATAGAAAATAATAATATCATTAGCAAACTGAAGGTGGGTCACCGGAATGCTTCTCCTTCCTAGTCTCCAACCCTTTATTAGCTCCTGCTCATTTGCTTTTGAGATCAATCTACTAAACACATCAGCAATGAGTGTGAAGAGGAAAGGAGAGAGTGGGCCACCTCGTCTTAGGCCTCTACTAGCTGGGAAGAAATCCTTAACCACTCCGTTAACTAAGACTGAGTAGTGACGGGAAGTTAGGCAACCACTTATCCAATTACACCATTTATCACCAAAGCCTTGCCTTCTTAACGGAGTGGTTAAGAAGGATATTCTTGTATGTCAAATTATTTTTAGGATATTAGTTTGGTTATCCATTATGGATGCTGATATAGTCCATGGAATTAGATGTATGAAGTGGAGATGTCCCCCATATAGTTGGGATGAGGCATAGAAATGTATTTTGAGTGTTGTATGATTGACATAAATCAATAAGATTGAAGGGAGATTTGTGTTTAGATGTTTACTAGCAATTCTATGAGGAACCCTTGGCTCCTAATTGGGATTTTAGGTTTCATAGGGGACTCAGGGATGATGAAATTGAATCTCTCTCTGACTTGCTATATTGCCTTAATCAGGTTTGCTTGGATCCCTCCAAGCCCTATAAAAGGGCATGGACTCCTAGACCCAAAGGAACCTTTACTTCTTCTTCTTACTTCAAGTCCATCTCTCAGCATTCTGCTCAACAACCTTTTCCGTCAAAGGAAATTTGGTGTAGGCCCGTTCCCCCAAAGATTATGGTGTTTTGTTGGGAAGTATTCTATGGGAAAGTAAACACTCTAGATAATCTACAAAAGAGAAGACCCTTCCTCGGTATTACTCCCAATTGTTACCATCTACAAATATCTTGTCCTTTTTCTACAGACCTTTGGGCTTGGCTACTTTCGTTGTTTGGGAGTAATTGGAGTATATTAGCAGAAGTTCACATGATCTTTAACCATTCTACTTTCTCTTGGCCTACAAAAAGAGGGGGGATTATGTGGAGATGTGCTCGCGCTGCCCTGATTTGGACTCTTTGGGAAGAAAGGAATGCTAAAATCTTTCAAGAAAAGGAAAGGAGCAGTCAGGAATTGAAAGACTGTGTGTTGCATAGGGCAATACTTTGGAAATCTTTCATCAATTCTCCTTTAATGACCTTTGGAGAAACTGGTCAACAGTAGCAAGGTGTTCACCCTTAAAGGATAAGTCAATTACAAGCTGGTCTCCTCCATTTGAAGGCTCACTGAAGTTGAACTTTGATGGAAGTAGCATGTGTAACCAAGGATTATCCGGAATGGGGGGTGTCTTGAGAAATGAGAAGGGAGAATTTTGTTGCTCTACTCAGGTCCTTTAGGAGTTGGGGACTCCATCAGGGCAGAGCTATTAGCTGTTGTACAAGGGGTGCAATTTGCAAATCAGCTAGGGGTACAACACCTAGTAATTGGAGGAGATTCCAAAGTGGTGGTGGGYTGGTTGAAAAATCCTGAAGATGCTATATGACGCTATAAGAATGAAATGAAGAAATTCAGTTGGTTGACAAGGAATATGTTGGTCTCTTTACAGTGGGTGGGGAGATCAGTAAATACTTCGTTCGATGTGTTAGCTAAGCAAGGGGTAAATCGGGAAGAATTGTTTTGGGCTCAGCTGTGATTCCTGTATTTCTTTCCTAGTTTTACTTGTAAGATTCAAGGAGGGGCTGCAACTCGCGCCTCTCCCTGGGATGTTGTATGAATTCACAACTCTAAATCAGCTTTTGAACTAATAAAATTTACTATTATTCATCAAAAAATTCTATGAGGAAAAAATGTTGGGCAATTAAGAAATAAGTGCTCATAAGATGATGGAATTGATATGGTGGGTGGTTGGATTGGATTTGGAGAAATGCATTTGTGGGAGCCTAGGGTAGCCACAATAGGTACAGTGGGAAAGGACATGATCATGGATCCTAGGGATCTACAGGTCAATCTAACTACAGCCATATTGCCCATGTTTTGAGAGAATCTCAAACTTCATATGTTAACATGGGTGCAGCAGAAATGAACTCAGTCGTGTGGAGGCAACTTGGGAAGATTGGCTTAGATTCATGGCCAACCAAAAGCCCACATTCTAAGGCCAACATGGTTACAATTCTAGTCAGGCTTAACACAGAGCCAAATGATCCAATGGAAAAAAGATGGGGGATCAGGATATCAGGTTGGCTGAGTTGAGGTTATGGTTGAAAAATCTCCATACCTTAGTCACCAAATGAACTTGCAACTGATGAATCATACATGTTCTTAGGATTGAGTACATTGGTTAGGGTTGAGGGTTTATGCCTTATGGTTAGGGTTGAGGGTTTATGCCTTATGGTTAGGGTTGAGGGTTCAACACAAGGGTTTGTGGTAGATTTAGCCTCAACTGATATTGCACTCTAGCACGAGATGGTAATTCCTCAAGCAAAGGGAAATTTTCAGTCAAGTTGGATAGTAGACTTGGATCTGTTTTGGCTGGATTATTGTTTTTTAGTTTTGACTTCAGATATGATTCTATAAATAGAGAAAGACTTGCAATGGGGTTTTAGGTCCAAGCTCTAAATGGGGTTTTAGGCAGTGCGGCAGGCGAAGCTCTATCTGAAGAACAGAACAGGGATTCTTTCAGCCTGGATTGTTTGTTCATAGGGGATTTGGTGGGGGAGGGAAAGGAAGGGGAGGAGCGGGTGAATGATCTTAACCCAAATTTGGCTGAGCTCTTCCCTAGTTCTAGCGCTTTGTAAGAGGCCGAAAAGGAGGTAGCTATGGTCTTCTCAGAGCTGAACAAGGGTACCTCACAGAGAGGTACATACTTGGGTATAGAAAGGGGCCTTTGTGTTGATATAGCGACAAGGATTTTCTTCCCCCAACTCGGGGAGACAGAGTGCTCTAATTTCTCAAAAAAGGAAGTGACTACCACTCCTTCGCCTACGCTCTCTCCTCACATCTCTGCCTTAGGTAAATCCCTCAACTCTGTCAATTCAGTTTTGGCTACTTGATGAGCGCTCTGTGTCCCTTGTTCCAGATTCTCTTCCCAACCAAGAGTCGGAAGCCCTTGGTCTGAAAGCCACAGTGTGTCTACAAGGTGGGGAAGTGGGTGAGAAAACTTGTAGAGAGACAAAAATATGGGAAATCATAGAGAGCCTTTTGGGTGAAGTGGA